GTACTCATAGTTAATTTTGCAAAGGTGCTCAATTAAAGCTGTGACTTGCTATATACAAATGTGAAGTAGATCTATATACCTATAACAGCATAACTGTTCAATATTCCTTAAACACCAAGAAAATACAGCATATTAAAACTGTGAGAAATAACCAAATACTCACTGAAATGATTATAATTTAAAATGACCAACAATACAGTATTGATGAAATTACGGAGCTTATGTTGCTTGCTGCTTTGGAGAAACATTTTTGCAGTATCGTGTGAAGTTAAACATACATAGGCTGCAGCAATTCCACTTGTAAATTTTACGTAAGAGAAGAAAAACAAATGTCCACACAGAGGCTTGTACTTAAATCTTCATAGGGGTTTCATTCACAATAGCCCCAAACTGGAAATAATTGCTGAATGGATATATAAATTTTCATGGTATAATGGAACTGCTCAGTAATATAAATCAATGAATGGGCTCTTGCTGCCCGCAGCAGATAGGGCTCCAAAATTTTGTGTGATTACATTTACATGGAATTCTAAAGCAGACAATCTATACTAATAAAAACCCAAGTGACCCTCGCGTGCGACATCATCACAAGATGGCCACCACAAGATGGCCATGAGCACAGCGGAGGTGGGGCCCAGCAGCTGCCCCGCATGGTGAGGCCTGGGGGTCCCACTGCTCCACGTGGTGTGGAGGCCAGTCCTGTCACAGGGATCAGGCCTAAACTGACAGTTGGATATCCCTCAAGGGGTCCCAGATTGGAGAGGGTGCAGGCAGGCTGAGGGACAACCCCCACCCCGTGCATAAATTTCGTGCACAAGGCCACATGGAACAAATTAATAAGTGCCATGTCAGAGATTTTATTGTAACTTATCTTGGTTATTATGTCCTTTGTTCCTTTGATAGTGTTTATTTCAATGCCTTTAATGGCAAAGTCTTAATATATTATGGGCCACAAATGTGTGGAAGAATACAATGTAGATTAGAAGCATCTTAAGCAGCTTAAGAACTGTGGCAATATTAATGCTGCCCATAGGGAGACTTTGAGACCATTGCTTTAAGTATTCCTATTCATCTTAAAGCGTTTATTAATCAGACTTTAATAGGCTATGATATTATAGTAGTTTTATGTAATTTGAAGACCTAATAGATTTTTACCAGTACTAGGATTCTCTTTCTTTGCTTTTATGTTTACAAGTATGACTGGAAACTTTAAAAATTTAAATAATTTGGAAGTTTCAATCTCCATAGATATTGATGGAGAAAGTATTAAATTCACAAGAATTAATACCAAAACAAAATTATCTTACGAATGATATAATCTGAAATCCTGTAAAGATTTCTATTTGACCAAGATTATCAGTGTTCATGTCTCTTTTTGGAGGAGAGTGTGAATAGCTGGTAATTTGTCTTCCAGTTCATATGTGTGCATGTGATAAAGAAACGTATAATTAGGTAGGTGTTATAAATAGGATATGCAAAAAAGACAAACCTACTCATGTTTCCAAGCTTTTATAGCATATGTCCAGTGGAGGTTTGCTGCTCTTTAATTTTGCCTTTTGGGCTAACCAGCTGACGCCCAGTTGAAAAGACTTATGTTCTTATGAGGCCACAAAAGCCTTAATGTTCAGTCTCCAGCCTCAGGTTTTGGAGAACGCCATGTACCATCAGCAGCTTCAGTTTCCACCCTCTAATGCTAACGCTCATCTATCAAACTTGAGGCTGAGAGTGAGGGAGAGGAAGCTTCCCGATAAACATACAACAGCGCCTAAACAGCTAATCACACTAGGCTTCCGCTTCCAGGCCCTATAATTAGAAGCCCTTCTTTTCCTTGTATTCCCAGATGACGCAAATGCATTTTGTGGCTTGGCACGTCATTTGGGGCGTAGGTTTAGTTTATGGCCAGGCTAGTCTGGTTTAGTCTTCTGATGCTGCATAAATAGTTCTCAAGCCACAGTCTACTCTGTACAAGTTTTTCCTTTTATGTATATCTGCTTTGTAACTTGTTTTCTAGAAGGAAAAAAAGGGTTTGTCATTCCTCCCAGCAGAATGTGTGCAACAGAGGAAATTATAAATTAAAAGAAAGCACATGATTGTGTAGTACTACACAAGCTATTTCTTCCCTTCCTCTCCGCTCCTTTAATTTTTTCCTCCATCATTTAAAATTCTGTCAAAAAAAATCAAGCTAACTTCTGGATTATGGAAGCCGCATTTGTGTGGAGAAGTGGAAAAAGAAAAGTTTAAGATAGATATATAGAAGATAATAAGTACAAATTTTCAAATGGGTAGTTCTCTAAAAATTTGAATTTGTTTACATATTAGAAAGTTAGATATTAACATCAGTTTCAAAAACTAGGAGCATATTGAAAGTGTTCATTTGAATGCTTATTTTGAGTACAATATTGATCTGTAATTCTAAAAGAAATGAAGTTTATCTTTAATAGGGGAGTGCTATGTTTGTGCTATAAATGCAACTTCACGATAGTTCCTATCAGAATGATGTTTCCATTAAATAGGCTGTCATGTGCATAAAATAGTATTGTTGTGGAAAAGTAGAGTCAAAATCTAATAGTGGAATAATGGAAACAGTATGATAGGGGAAAAAAAAAAAAAGGAGTAAATAAATATTGTCCACAAAAGGACAATTAAACATTCATGCCCAATCTTAGCAATTTATTGTTTGAATAACATCAACAATATGGGAAGAATGTAAAGTTTGTCAATGGCATTATTTCCATAGCTAGGTGCAGGATGAGAGGCAATCTTAATAAAGAGGGAATATGCTAATTGACTGCCACGCCCTCACAAGATAGTGGCACCCACAGCCACAAGATGGCAGTGCCCAGTCCCTTTAGCCCCACCTCATCCAACCTCAGTCCCCCAGTCCCCTTAGTCCCATAGGGGAAGGCAGTTGGGGGTGATTGGGCTGGCAAGGGAGGAGAGTTGGGGCTGATATTCTGGCAGGGGAGCAGTTAGGCATCAATCAGATTGGCAAGGGAGCAGTTAGAGGGCAATCAGACAGGCAGGTGAGTGGTTAGGAGCCAGCAGTCCTGGATTGGGCCTAAACTGGCAGTCAGAAATCCCCTGAGGGATCCCAGATTGGAATGGGACACCCCTTCCCCACTCCTGTGCATGAATTCCATGCACCAGGCCTGTAGTGTTATATAAATGGTTATAGATTTGAATAGATCTCAATAAATGACACTTTTCATACTTAAAATATATTCTTCTGGAAATAACAATTGTACCAGCATCTAGTATGTTATTTTAAAATCTAATGTGGTGAGTAAGCCTAACCATATATTCACCAAGTAAATAGCAAACTCAATTATACTTCACCTTTCCATTTAAATGTCTACCGTATCTTTCCACAGGAGCTTAATATTCTTTCACATCTTTCCTTTCAACAAGGAAATGTTTTTTAGCAGTAAAGAAATGCAATAACATCTCTGGTAAAGCAGAATAAGCTAATAAACCACTTTTCTCATAGAAAAATATAAATTCTGGACAAAATATAGAGTAGCACAAATTTAGCTATATGTTTATTATAATCCCTGAAATAAAGAGATTTATCCAAACGGTCAATAGATAAATTAAAATTGGATATTATAAATAACAAAATTATCCAAAAAAGGGAAGGAAAAGCAGATAAGCAAACATAGAGACACTCATAAAAATAGTAAAAAAATATAAAATGATAGGTATAAATTCAACCCTACAAATAAGTTATAAGTGTATGAATTTACAAATACAATTAAAAGTCAGAGATTGATTTAAAATAACAAGACACCAAAACGAGACCCCAATTGTTATCTAAAACAAAGTCATTTTAAATAGTTATATTGATTAAAAAGTAAAAGAATGGGAAAATATTTATTATGCATACACCAATCAAAATAAAGTTGTAGTGCTGGTATCAAAATCACAAAAAGTAGACTTTAGAACAAAGGAAATAATGGGATTAAAATGGGATTTAAAAAAAATAAAGGGCATTAATAAAAAAACCTAAACTAGCATCGTGCTTAGATTGAATGCTTTCTCCTAAAACTGGAAACAACACCTGAATATTGCTCTCACTAAACCTGTTTACCCTAGAAAATGTAGTAAGTGAGGAGAGAAAGAAAAGGCATGGAGTTTGGAAAAAAAGAAGTCAAATTATATCCATTCACATGCTGCATGATTGTGTGTAAAGAAAATTCCATGTAATCAACATAAAAACTTCTAGACCTAGCAGAATATATAGTGAGTATAAAAAAGGTATAAACTTAGAAGCAGATGGAGTTGTACTTTTATGGTGATGAGGATAAAATGGAGAACCTGAAAAAAAAAATGCATTTTTAGAGGAAGATGTACACAAATATGGTCAGTTGACATTTGGCATGTTGACAATACATAACAAAGGACAAAGAATCTAGTTTCTTCAAGAAATCTTGCACATCATTTGCAAAACAATTGTACATTGTTTGCAAAATTAATTTGCTTTGTAGAAAAATTAACTCCAAATGGATAATGGATCTAAATGGAAAATAAAAAAATAATGGAATTTTGACGAGAAGACATAAAAATCTTTTGTAATACTGTAGGCAGTTCAGTAAATATTATGCCAGGGAAGAAACAAGTTTTAAACAGGCGAATTAAGTAGGGTATTAGTAGTTGGTTTAGTAGATAAATTGGAGTTTCAAAATTCAGGCTTGAGAATTGGCAAAAGGTGGGAGTAGGTTCCAATCATTGTCACATTCAGTTGATTAAATTTTCTATTTTAAAATGCTTGTGAACATCTAAATTCATACATATAAAATTTTTCTGCTAGTCATGTGGTAACATGATAAAATAAAGTATTCTCATCATTGTATATTACATGGCCTTAAGGTTTTTTAATCATATATCACGGGTAATTTTTTTCTTTTGATAACATTTTAAAACATGATTAGTATTTTGTGAAAATATTTCATCCACATGCATAATCATTTTATTTTTTATCTCTTTCTTGGTATGTCCTACAGGAATGCTTCTAGTCACAACAGACACCCTTGGCCATGACTTCCATGTCTTCCAAATTCTGACTCATCCTTGGTCCTCATCACAAAGTGCTGTCCATCATCTATACACTCTTCACAGGGGAGAAACTGAAGCCAAAGTAAGTTGTATAATTTTCAGAAGGTTTTTCTTTGTTTAAAACGATGCCTAATCTAGCTGGCTGTTTACATTATATTGGTGCTTAATATTAGTGAGGATATACTTGGTAATAGAATGGTTCAGAGAAGAAAAAATATTTGTTCTATATAAGTACAAATTATGGACCTTGTTTGAGGCTATTTCATACAAATTAAGTATAAAAACATATATTTCATATGAGTGGTGAGATTTGAACATTTGCCTTAGTAGATATTGTTAATGAATCCAATGTGCCTATTTCCTTGTGTTGCATACAAAAGTATTTGCAGATGTGTAGAATTAGCTTTAAAGTAATCTAGTAGTAGGACGGTGTTAGATAAAAATGAGGAGAAAATTGGCAATGGTTATATTGATTATAAGAGTCTTAAGAAATATGAACTAAATGCAATGTATGAACTTACAGCCTGATTTAAAAAAAGTGTAAAGAGATGTTTTTCAGATAGTTGATAAAATAGACCTTGAGTTGGGCATTATTATATGATATTAGTTAATTTTGCTGGGTCTGCAATAGTATTTTTAAAAAAAAATCTTTATCTGTTAGGCATATATTATAAAGTCCATTATGATATCTCTAATCAATTTTTAAATAATCTGGCAAAACAAAACTAAGAGATAGATTAAACTATATTTGTAAAGTGTTAATTACTGAAGCTGGTCAATATTGGTGGTTGGAATTTTATAGCAATCTGTACTTTGTGTGTGCTTGGAAATTTCTCTAATAGGAAGTAAAACAGTATTTTTCAGTGTTTATTTTCAAAAACTTTTCCAGCTATTCTTGAGCATTTTCTAATTGATGTAGTTAAGAGTAACCATAGGGAGTTATATTACAGTTTGAAATCATCTTTATAATATAGAAATTTTACATGTAGCAATTATATTTTAAAATTAGTTACTGCTGTGGTATGACAAATCTATTTATTGTTGTTGTTGTTGTTTTTAATATATTTTATTGAATTTTTTACAGAGAGGAAGGCAGAGAGATAGAGAGTTAGGAACATGGATTAGAGAGTGTCATCAATCAGCTGCCTCTTGCACATCCCCTACTGGGGATGTGCCCAAAACCAAGGTACATGCCCTTGCCGGGAATTGAACCTGGGACCCTTCAGTCTGCAGACCGATGCTCAAACCAGTTTCGGCTATTTATTGTTTCATAGCATATTTTTATCTTTCTTCTTTGCTAGTCTCTATTATACTAAGGACAAATAGTTTTCAGTAATTTTTTTGAATTTTATAAGTAGAACATAATTTTTTTTAATATCATAATAGTTTTTTTTTTTCTTTTCAGCTCTGTTTTCCTTATTGCGTTGGTTAGGAATTGTAAAATAGCAGTAACAGTGTAAGTGTTAGGTGTAGTTTTTTTTTTAAAAACTATATATATATATATATATATATATATATATATATATATATATTAAATATATTTTATTGATTTCTTACAGAGAGGAAGGGAGAGAGATAGAGAGCTAGAAACGTCGATGAGAGAGAAACATCGACCAGCTGCCTCTTGCACACCCCCTACCGGGGATGTGCCTGCAACTGATGTACATGCCCTTGACCGGAATCGAACCTGGGACCTTTCAGTCCGCAGACCGATGCTCTACCTCTGAGCCAAACCGGTTTTGGCTTAAACAATATATTTTTAAAGTTTTTCTCATTATGCTTTATTTATATCACTAGAGGCCCGATGCACAAAAGAGTAGGCCTTTCTTCCCCCTGCCGCTTGCCTCACAGCCCCGGTTTTTGCCTGAAGGTCATCCAGTCTAATTAGCATATTATGCTTTTATTATTATAGATTATTATAGATTTTTTATGTCAATACCATGCTGTTTTGATTACAATAGCTTTATAATATAGTTTGAAATTAGGACGTGTGATGCTTTCAACTTTGTTCTTTTTTCCTCAAAATTTCTTTAGCTATTCAGCATCTTTTGTAGTTATATGTTAATTTTATGATTATTTTATTTCTGAGAAAAATGTTAAATAGCATTTTGGTAAGGATTACATTGGATCTTTTGATTGCTTTGAGTAGTTTAAATATTTTACTAATATTAATTCTTCCATTTAATGATCATGAAATATCTTTCCATCTTCTTCAGTTTTTTTTTTTTTGTTTTTTTTTTTATCAGTGTCTTATAATTTTAGTGCACCACCTTCTTGGTTTAATTTTTCTCAATATTCTTTTCTATGCCATTAAAAGTGGGATTGATTTTTTTTTTAATTTCTCTTTCCTATATTCATTATTAGTGTATAGAAATGTAACTGATTTTGGTATGTTTGATTTTATATCCCATAACTTTAGTGAATTTATTACTTCTAAACAGTTTTCTGGTGAAGTCTTTAGAGTTTTTTATGCATAATAGCATATCATCTTCAAATAGAGACAGTTTTACTTGCTTTCCAATTTGGATCTTTTTTAATTTCTTTGTCTTGCCTGATTGCTCTGGCTAGGACTTCAGAGCTATGTTTACTGAAATAGGCAAGAGTGAGAATGCTGTCATGTTCTTGATCTCAGAGGAAAGGCTTTTGGCTTTTCACCATTGAGTGTGATATTAGTTGTAGACTAGTCATAAATGGCCCTTGTTATATTGAAGTATGTTTGTTTTTATTATTTTGGATGTTGAAATTTTTAAAATTATTTTTTCTGTATCTATTGAGATGGTTATATAATTTCTATCCTTTCTTTTTTTCAAGTGGTATAGTTCTTATTCAGCATCCAGCTGCACATTAATTGAAAACTGGATCCTCAGGCAACAGCTTTTTTTTTTTTGTAAAGCCAACAGCTTTTAAAGTCCACAAATATGCCTCTTTCATGGGAAGACTGGGCGATGGGCAGTATAGTCCTCTGCCTTTGTGCTGTGCCTTGAGTGAGAGCAGGTTAAAAATTAATTTTAAACTATATAAATATTCCATTCCCCATCAAGCTTTGTATCCTTTTATTTACATATATTATCTGGTGTAATAGCTTCTTCTTTTATTCAGTAGGTTATATCATTCAATAATTATTCTGATGCTCAAAATATCCTAGATTTGTCTAGTTGGAGCCAAACTAGGCTTGGCTCTGTGTCCTATTGACACATCTCCGTTATTCTTCGAAAGTGTCCTTCCTTCCTTCTGGGCACAAAGAATTTGCTTACTGTCATGTTTAGTTACTATTTGTTTTTGTTCCTTTTGTATGGAAGTTTTCAGTTACTCTATGAGCATTTTATATAATGATTTAATATTTCATTTTGCTGCTGGGCACATATGTACTCTGAGTCTGTTTCTTAACTTTGGTTTTAAAATTCTTCACTAGGTACTGGTATGCTATACCTCAGCTATCACCTCAAAGAATTTGGATATTTTAACCACTTACTCTGTTTTTATTATTGTTATTTGGTTTTTTTATTTATACCTATTTTTGGTATAACCTCTTGTGTTAGCATATTTTATCATTTAATTTACCTATACATCCAACTGGAAATAGAGATCATGATTCAGCTTCTTTGTATCTCTAACCCTTGGCATACTGCCCTACACATGGACAAATGTTTCAAGGTAAAGATGTTTGATACTTTCAGTGCTATTCCTATTTAAGCAGGAAACCAAAAAGAAATTATTAAAATTATTTTGCTCTATGTCACAGCTTGTAATTTAGGAGCTTGGGAATTTATAAACATCAAGATCTAAGGAAATTCAATTAATGACCATAAAATTAATTTTATAAGCTTCTACTGAAAACCGTATTTTGAAATGATATATACAATTTAACACTGGTGATAAAATCTATATGGCATGTGATCTGTCTGTCCATCTTTGAGTACTTCAGAATCATGTCATTCTGGATTCTTCTAAGAACTCTGAGGCTACTTTAATCAGGCCAGGAAAAAAAGTCAAAGTATGTGGATCTAATTATGTTGAATTAAGTTGTTTTGTGATCTATGACTTGGGATATCCTCTGCATCTGACAGTAATTTTCCTCATAAAGCACATATGTAGTTAGAAAAGTATTCCTAGTTTTCAACAGTAAAGTCATGTGTTATAAAACCTTAAAATATTTTGTTGCTCTACTTCCGTCATGTCTTACTCAAGCAGACACAAGTCATTTTGTCCTTAACATGCTAATTTCTGTAAATGGTAAACTTGCTTTTGAAACATCTGCAGATCAGATTAGTGTTACTTTTACTTTAGAGTGATCCTACTCATATGGTTTCCTTTCCAAGGGGAAAAGAATCTAGCTTTTTTAGTATTATTAGTTGATAGAATTTGATGATCAGTTCAGATGAAGACAAGCAAATTTAGTATGAGAATGTCTCTTATATTACCTACTTATGCTTTTTACCGAAATGCAAATTTTACTGGATTTTCTATATATTTACTTGTTAAATGTGGCATTCCCCACAATCTTGATTTTTGTTAGTTTCACCCCAAAACATTACTCCTATTGAGATGTAATCCTCATTATATAAAATTCACCCTAGCACAGATCCATCCAAAGACAATGCCTAAACAAAAGGGTACGGTTGGCCCACAGTTATAGTAACCCCCAATTAAAGCAGAGCTGGCAGTTTTCCATTATCCTGTTCTGATAAGTCCTTACATTTATCCCTCCACCCCGCCCATATATTTATTGGGGTTGTATAGCTGCACCCCAGCCAGTAGTCACCATCCCGTTTCATCTTATACAAGCCATTAGTGACGTCCTTATTTATTTATTTATTTATTTATTTAATTTTTAAAATTAAATTATTATCTGTTTACATATTTTACCACTGCTCCCCCTCCCATACATACCCTCCCTCCCCAGAGTTTTGTGTCCATTGGTTGTACTTACATATGCATTTATACAAGTCCTTCAGTTGATCTCTTCTCTCCTCCAGATCCCCCTCCCCTCCCCGCTGTAATTTGACAGTCTGCTTGTTGCTTTACTGTCTCTATATCTGTCTTTTGGTTCATCAGTTTATAATGTTCTTTATTATCCATAAA